ATATTTCATCGTTTTTTTTTCTTTTTAAACTTGGTGTCTTTATAGGTAGCATTTGTTAACAATATAGAAAGGTATATTATATCCTGACTTCAAAACAAGCAAATAAACTTATTTTTTATTGATAAGTCAAAAATTATTCGGGGTATTTCTATTTTCTATTTGTCTTGACAAGATAAAAAACTCCAGAGAAATCTCTAGGCTCAGTGCATTTTACTTAGGGAATAATTAAATTTTTTTTATACTATGGAATTTGTGGTCCCTTATGAAGTGATTGCAGCCACCTTGTGCAATATTTCCCTTGCTTGAACCATAACTATTCAAGGATAGGAAAGATAGCACCTCTCTCCCTCTAGATAATGACCTTTCGGGATTAACCACGTATCCCTTGCCCAATATAATATAGGACTTCTGGTGTGTTGGTGGGTCTTACCTTGCTCATCCTGACAGACGGCCTTCAGGATGCGATGTCCCATGCCACATTTTCCATGATCAGGGATACAGATTCCTTCTGATGCCAACCATCGATAACACATTGGATCCTCACAAGGAACAGATTCCACCAAATGAGGGCAATGCCCCACAGGCCCTGTGGATTCCATGAGGATATGGCGCTGCCTCATTCTAAATCCTAAAAAGAAGAAAAAACAAAAGTTTCACAGGATTCCACTCTTATTCAGCAAAGGTAAGGAACCAGCTGCTACGTGAGAGATGAAACTTTTTATGAAAACTCATACCTCCAAAGCATGTATTATCTTGATTTGTTTTAGTTTATGAGAAATGGAAAGGAAGAAAGGAAATTGAAAAGAATGAGAACATAAACTCTGGCCTTCTATGAGATTTCAATCTAGAAGTTGGAAACTCCAGATATCATTGAATGAAATAATAAATAGTGTATATAACCAATGTTATCAACAAATGGGTAAAATAAATGAAGACTCATAAAAATGGCCTTATCACAGAAAAATCTACATTTTTCTTTTGTTATTGTTTTGACATTCCTGTTACTCTGCATTAAGTTGAAACACATTTACATTTTGGCAAATTCCTTTTTCTGATCATTTAGTACTTTTGGATTCCCCTAAATTGTTTCATTGATTTCTACATCAGCCTGCTGTATAAAGGCAGTATCTCTTTGGATTTCATTTTCTACCCTGGGTAAACATGGGAACCTGGGCTATTATTAATTTTAAAAAATTACAGTGGGACAGGGAAGGTTTCCACGAGCCAGAGAATTATGGGCCTATGGAGTCAGAAACTCAATGTTAATAGACATGAAGCAGGTATACCTTGAAGAAAATGGATCAATCATGAGAGTATGGAGAGAGAGCTTTCTGGATAATGCAAGATGTAGGCTTGCTCAAAATAGTTTGGCTATTTTTCCAGTTTCTGTTCACTGTCGTCATGAGAGAATATGAACCCTCTGTTAACAGATCTTTTTATTTTGTCCAAAACACCAGAAATGTAAATTATGTCTTGTTATTATATAGAATCTTTCTGTTTATAAATAATGGATAACAATTTACACATGAAAAACCAAAGTAACCTAAAAAATTACTGAGAGCCAGATAAAACCCTTCAGTCTTGATTTTTAATTTCTGGCTCTCATGATGTCATGTAACTCTTATTTTGTTTGTTTGTTTTTGCTTTTGTTTTGGTTTTGGTACTGGGGATTGAACTCAGGTCCCTGTGCTTGCAAGGCAGGCCACTGAATCGCTGAGCTAAATCTCTGGCCCCTCATGTCACTTTTAAAAGCTATGCCTGGCTTCTGCTGATCTCATGTCTTACCTTCCATTGTTTATCCTCCAAATTCAATTAACCTACTTAATTTCTTCAATTTCTATTTTTTAAAAAATTCAATCTATTGCATAAATAACATTTTTAAGGAACTATCACCTACTCCTTAAAGTAAGTAAAGAAAATTCTTTGGCACCAATACAGAGAACGTTCAATTCATAAAATAAGAGTTAAATATACAATCACCCTTCTCACAAGGGAGAAGGAAAAGTGAATGAGTATCACAGGTAACAAAACCAAGCTCATCTTTCTCAATTTTCTTACAGTATTAGATAAGTTACAAAGCTCAAAGTGAGCTGGAAACACTGGGGGCTAGTATATAAGAGACGTGGTTTTAGGACACAAGAGGGAGCTGAGCTTGCTTAGAACAGGACAGAGCGAGGAAGGGATTACAGAAAAAGTCAAAAGAACTTCATTTGACTTTTCTTGATCTAGCATAACTTCCTTTAAAAGAGACTAAGATTCTTACTTTAAGGAGCAAGTACTTATACACAGGAATCTTTCAGCAAAATTGATTGCATTTTCATGACATTAAAAAAGTTAAGTTCAGGGCAACTGAAAAAAACAAAAAAAACAAAAGGTAGCTACTTCATTGCTTCGCATCTCCAAATCTACACTGTCAAGTAGCCAAAGTAAAACATAAAGAAGAGCTAATTTATCTTCTTATTCTTCCTTAAGAAGAGATACAAGGAACATACTAGGCTCTGAACTGCACTCAGTGAATGTAAAACCAGCACCACCTGCAAGCTTTTGTTGCTACACAACTTAATGACCTGTATTTTCACACATAACACCGCACCTGCTTATTTATTGTCTTGTGTTTCTGCTCTTTCATTTTTGTCTTTGAGCAGGTATAGCACAGGACTTCCTGATTTACATTGTTTGACAACAGCTCAGAGTTGAGCACAGAAACTCAGCAGTCTCTACCAAGGGATTCTAGATGTCTTATTCCTGGAAGTTAATGCTATTGAGAGGCATGTGCAGTTTTCCTCTATAAATCATGCTGTATTCATCCTGCCATAAATCTATAGATTACATCTCTTCAGTTAATAAATTCTTTCAGTCTTTCATTTACACTGCCCTTGTCCTGACTCTAAGTAGGATCAAATCATAGCACAAGTTCAGCATAAAACAAAAACTTTGGGTTCTCTCTTTAGCACTCACCTTTAATCACACATTGGTATTCATACCTATAACAGACATCAGGCTTCCCCAGTTCTGTTCAAAAGATATATATAAAGTCGACCATGACTGAGCCAGGAATCTACTCCCTTTATTTACTGATTATTTTTAATAAGTATCACTCAGCAAATTATAACTGTCCTGTAGTGTGGGAGCCACAGCAAGCACATGAAAACATATATGTATTCTTCACAGAGCATATAATTCAAAAAGAGAAAGGGCTAAACCTAGTAAGTCTTCACCCCATACCAAAACTGGGACAGCCAGTTTACATATATTACTTTCAAGTAATAAATCCTCAAAATAAGTTACTATCCCATTTTTCAATGAGAAAGCTGGAATTACACTGTACTTTATCCCTTCTCCGAAGACACAACACTGATGACACACTGGGTATGACATGCAGCAAACATGCTTCTCATAAAACTGAATCATAGCCAGCTTCCACATAGGTTATGTTCTAGCACCTCCTTCATAAAGTGAATCCAAAAGGTACCATGTACTCCCTTAAAATCCAAGCTGAACAGACCAGAAAATGGAGTAGTTGGTAAGTAGCAGAGAATTATAATAATCACTTCCCAACTTCATCTTTAGTAAAACTAATGTTCATAGAGTTTTATTTCTCTGCATGACTCCAAGATTTGTGGTTTAGTATGCAATTCTACTGGTGATAATGAACTGAATAATAGTTTGGGGAAAGAAAAAGGAAGATAAACAGATGGCAGGAAAGGGGATAATGTTTTTAAGTGAAGCCATGGATAAATTAAAGGAGACTTGAGAGCGAGTATACAGGTCCAGGTTCAAGGACAGTATTTCTGCTCTGTTATTGGACTAGAAGTGGCAGTGAGAGCTTCCAAAGAGTTCTCCGTGGGCAACATTATGTCTCTAAACTGGCTATAATGGGATAGGCTTGAAGAAATAGCCAACAGATTAAACAAAGATAAGAGAGGCTTCTTCCATCTTAACCATTCTATTTGCTCTTGGTCTCTGGTGGATCTGGGTGTTGAATAATAACTCTGGGTCAAAGAACTTGAGCAGATTGACTATTTGATTTCAACTACCAACCCTTATAGTTTCACTATTAGTTACCACCCTGTTGTGAACACAGACAATAAGAAGCACTGATTGAATGATGTCACATGAAGAGTTTCAAAGCTTTCAAAGCTTAGGCAAGGTCTGCCACCAGCTCCAATATGCACCAACACAGAAAAAAAGAAAAAGATTGTCTCTTAGGACACATAATACTTGGGGTAATGTTAATTGATTTTATAGGCTTCACATTAAAGGTAGAGTCTATCTAGCACTCAAGGATGGAAAATGGAAATTTTCAACATATTGTTGTATAACATCTAGGACATGTCAGTATTTTGTCACTTTAGCATTATCAATATTAATTGTTTCAGAACATAAAAGACTGTCTTCAAAGTAGTCATGGTTCCATAGTTTCAAAGTGTCTTTTCCCATGTGGGAGGATTTTTAATTGTCTGGTGCTATGACTGTGGGGGTACTGTACTGAAGGACAAAAAGTCTTGTGCTTTAGATCTGAAATGACCCACAGCAGCTCATGTGTTGAAAGTTTGGTCTCAAATGCAGCTATGTTCAAAGGTAGGAATGTTGAAGGTGATTAGATCATAATGTCCCTGACTTTATCAGTAGGCTAACCCACTGATGAATGCTTAAATTGATGGTATTCTTTGGGAGGTAATGGAAATTTAGGAGGTGGGACATAATGGAAGTATGAGCCCTTGGGGACTTTGATTGGTCCCAGCTTCCTCCCACTCCCTTTGCTTGCTGGCCATCATAAGGAGAACATCTTTGTTCCATGTGATCTTACTCTGATGTTCTGATTTGGAATGGGCCAAAACCAGGGGCTGAGATCTCTGAAACTATAAGCCAAACTAAGCCCTTTTGTCAGTAAGTTTATTTTCTCAGGTACTTTGTCATAAGCAATGGAAAGCTGAGTAACACAGAAGGAAACCCTGAAATTCTACCATGAAGTGAAATAGCTATTGTGATACCATGTATGGAAACCTCTTTGAAAAGTTACCTTTAAAAGGTTTGAAAGGGGTGAGGGTTTTTCATAAATCTATGTCTAAGTATAAAGAAGATTTTTTAATGCATCACATCTATGTGCAATTTTTCTAGCTAATTCTCCTAGCATTTTTCTAGCTAATTCTCTCCTCTATTTCTCTAATTTTAACACTCTAGGAAGAACTCAAAGATAAAGCAATGGATGATAAAACTTAATCCAATTTAAATTCCTCTGAAAGGTGTCCTAGCATCATCTGACAAGCAACAACCTGCCAAGCACTGTTCCTCTTGTCTGCCTGTCATGGATGTGATGGAAAGGTGCAAAGCCTATGAACATCAGCTGATTTCCTAATGTACTCTGAGAAGGTGACAGACAGAAACCTTAGATGATGCCTGATTGAACGGTGTCTGGCTAAGAATAACAGTCACAGAGAAATAATTGCTATAACAACTAATTTCCTCTA